TTGGAAATTCCATAAACTTTTAAAAAACCGTATACAATATCAACAAAAAAGTGTATACTTTTTGAGTTATTCGGAATTAAATTTTACCATCCCCCGTAACTTTTTTTCCAGCTTCTTTTCGTTGAAGAATGTTGTATAGATAAATTTAAAGGGTGTCGAGAAAATGACGTTAGTGAAGTTTCATTGAAATCGGTACATTCGTTTAGGCGCAAAAGTCTATAGCGACGCAGGTTTTTCTGCATTATTATTTTTTTCTCCTTTATTAACTTATCAAATTCTTTCAAAAGTTATATTAAGCATTTTTTCGTAACTCTGAATAATGAGAAATGATTAACTTTTTAAAATAAACCATATTAAAGGTACTTTAGAGGAAGACGTATTTGAACATTGGGCATTGAAGCCCTGTAAAGTGACATCAATGGGGATAAGACCTAATTGATATTAAAGACCACTTAATTATGTAATGATACACCGAGTTTAATCAAAATCGTTAGAGCGGTTTTTGAGAAAATTATGAAAATGTGTTTCAGCGTTGATATAAAGTGGCACTTCCGGTTAGCCGATTTTAAGGAAAAAGTTGCTGTCTCATCTAAGGCATATACCTTTCTTAAATACGTAATATCAGTATCGTAGGACTTTTCGTTTTTGAGCTAGACTGCTAACATACAAACACACAGACCATTTTTCGAAACTTGGTCATTTCGACTCAATGTACCTCAAAACGTGTATTTCCGTTGAAAACTTTGATTCAAAAATTTTCTCAAACGCAATACTTACCTTCACGGGCGGATCTACGGGAGGGGGAGGGGCTTTGGGCTGAACCACCCCCACCCAAAATGTGAAAATATGACCATGTTTTATCGAAAAAAAAATGTTAAAAAATTATCTCACTTAAACACCATTTCATATATGTAGTTAGTTTCTTTCTTTTTTTCCAAAGTAATTATCGTTATTTTTATGATAAAAAAGCTTTCGGGCTGAAGCCCCCCCCCCAAAATTAAATCCTGGATCCGCTAGTGCTTACCCTTCCTATATATTACATATATACATGTAGTATTATATTAAAAAACGTTTTATAATTGTTTATTTCATTATTTATCTGAGGACAGACTAAAAAATATATTTTTTTTCTCTTTAACTATTTCTATTTAACTATTACCTGTCATGGTATTGACAATCAGCAGATTTGTTGTGATGATAAAGATTGACATTATTGGCAAGAGGAAGGATAGTACCCAGCAGCATCTCTTCCTGGTCATTATTTTCTTCCTTGATTTAGCTGAGGAGATCTCTCATCCAGCTCCTTTTTAGTCTCCTCCTGATGGGCATGTCAGTCGTGGCCATGTCGTTTATAAGTCCGCTTAAAGTGTAGTTTGTGTGTCGGTGTAGTTTGAGATGAAAACGAGAGTAGAGAGTACGTATGTGTTGATCTATAGTTGATTGTCGTAAGTCGCTATGTAAAGTTTTGTTGTTGACGTACCAGGGAACTCCTGTTATAAGTCGTAAAATTTTGGATTGGAATGACTGTAGTTTATATAAGTGCGTTTTTTTTCCGAACCGTAAATCTCAGAGGTATGTGTCCAAATGGGTTTGAGTTGGTAAGTGTACGTATTTAGTTTTTTTCAAACTTTCTATTTCGATTTAGAAAAAAATGTGTACAGTATTTTCATTTGCTTGTTTAAAGTCTGTCGTTTCATTTTGACGTGGCCCCAGGTCATCCTTCTGTCGAATATTAGTACCAGGTAATGTACTGTGTTTGTCTTAGGAATTTGGTTTTCTCCTATATAAACAGGTGGACACGTTTCTCGTGGAAGTGTAAATGTTATATGTTGTGACTTTTCATGATTTAATCTTATTTTCGAAAGTGAATACCAATTCTGTAAAGTCAGTGAGTGGTTTTGTAAATTCATTGGGGCTAGTCTGGGGTTATGGTGTTTTGCTAAAATTTTTGTATCATCATCGTAGGTGGCGGTTAATGTTTCGGAGTTGACAGGTATGTCATGCGTATATATAATATAGAGTAAAGGAGCCAATATTGATCCTTTACGTACTCCTGCAAACACTGGTCGAATTGAGGAAATTTCTAGGACTTGTTGGGTAGAGAAAAATCTGTCGAAAAGAAAAGATTGAAGAACGAGGTAATATGTATGAGGTAGTAGTGTCTTGCGCTTAAAGAGAAGTCTCTGTTGCCAGACTTTATCCAATGTCTGGGCAGCATCCAGAAACACGGCGATTGCGTATTTGCTCTAGTACTCCAGCGATGTAGTCAGTAACTCTATGTATTTATAGTGTTGTTGAATGGAACGTACGAAAACCGAATTGATGATCAGTAATTATATTTTGATCCGTCAGTGAGTCATGCAATCTTTTGTATATTAATTTTTCGAAAAGCTCAGAACATAGTGGGAGAAGACTTATAGGTCGGTAGAATGGGGGATTTAAAATGTCTTTGTCCTTTTTGTGTATCATTTTGATGTGTAAATATTTCCATTGTAATGGGAATTTAGTTGTCCTCAGGATACAGTTGTATATAGTCGTAAGGAACAATAGTGCTTTCCTGGGCATTTTGCTAAAGCGCCTCGGCAGTTATTAAGTCTTAACCTGGGGCTTTTCTTTTGGGTTGATGTTTGATTTGCTGTGCAACTTGTGAAGTAGTGAATGAGAGAGGTGGTCGTGTCAACGGTAGTGGTATATCTAAAATGTTTAGTACAATGGTTTCATGTTCTGTGTTCGTGAAGTTAGTAAATGGTGTAAATACAGATGACAGATGGTCAGCAAATAGTTTAATTTAAAAAAAAAAAATTCTAGGAAAACAACATCATATTTTAATAAAAAATGCTTAGTGTCCACTGTCAGCTGTGAGCTTACATGACATAATTATGCTTATATATTATTATTTATTAAATTTGTATCAGGACGTGAATCACTAACGGGTTCAGGATTTCATTTGGGAGGAGGCTTTTTCTTTTTAATGTTATTATATTATAGTATATGTACAGCCGAAGCAAGTTGGTATGAATTGAACATATTGGTGTGAATGCGTTCCTTTATCACTATAATTATTGAATATTATATATCTAAATAAATAAAAAATTATATTATAAATATAATTACTCTGGAATTATGAATTATAATTCTAAATAAAATGATGTTTAAGTAATTCTTGAAGGTCTGTTTTAAAAAAGTATATAAAAAAGCATGTAATTAATGAATAAAGTTTTTAGATTTAATTTATGATTTAAAAACAGTATATCGATAGCCACACTGCAAAAGCCTATGAGGACAATTTCCATGCAAAATGAGCCTTGTGAAGGTTTTGAGCTTTCCTGGCCAATCTTGTCCTAGTGCATATTCTGATCACACAAAATGAAATCTAAGATGTTCCATTTCTTCTTTATGGCCTTTTGTAAAAACCTGTAATTTAATAACCAGCAAATTGTGATGTGATAAACTGTAAGTAACAGTGAAGGTTTCAGAGATTGTGTCGATTACCGAAAAAATGTAATGGACTGCCCAATGAAAGAGGTCAGCGTTTTGCGCATAAACTACAATATCAATTAGATTTATTAATAGACTAAAATTAATTTTTCTTTATATTCTTTTTTTAAATTTATAATAAGTGGCGGGCACTTCTATCTCGGTGCCTCTGGGCAAATGGCTGTGTCCTGCTCAAAGAAACAAAGGGAGAGGGACACTAAAAATCATATTAAAAAGATAATTCACAGAAAATTTGGTCACGGATAAACCAGACACAACAGAACAAATTACACAACCGAATACTTTTTTAATGTGATAAATAGGTTCACTTCACTCTTTAAATATTTTGACTAATATTTTAAAGGATCTTTTTAAAATAATTTCTAATTAATGTAAGTGAATAACTTCTAATTGATGTAAGTGAAACCAAAAGTTATACAGGGTATTTAAGTATTTTTTCCTTTGTTTTTTCGAAACTGTTTTTTTAAAGTAGCAGAAACTGTTGCAACTGCTACTGTTAAACAGCTTTGCCCATCACTAGTTCAGACCTTTCAATGCCTGCAAATCCCTAGAGTTTTCTTCCTAAACGGTTTTGGGTTTCTTAGTTTTTTTTTTTTTTTATACGAACGAAATAAAAGAAAAACAGAAGGAAATCTTGAAACAGATTAATAATTTAGATAATTTTATCATACCAGTGAAGAATATAAATAAAGACTTTCATTAATTAAGTTTCTGAATAAGAAGAAAGTTCGTAAACAGCTGTCCTGGCTTCGAATATAACATAACACTTGTGGATTATAATTAGGCACAAATATCTATTATTTTTTAGAAGAGTGTTCGACATAAAAGATTATTTCTGACTGCATGTCCAGCGACTGGAAGTCTCCCTTTTCGGCTATACAGTGTTTTTCCTGGGCCAGAGGAGAGGGTAAGGGAATAACTCTGAAATTAATCCCAAAGCCTCTCTCCTGCTTCGGGAAAAGCCTCGTATAGCCGAAAAAATAAGCAAAGATGAAGAAAGAAAAAAAATATTGAAATCATTTAACAATCAAAGTTGATTTAAAAGAGCTAGATTTTTATTTTTAATCCAAATTTTGTTTCTTTATAATTCCTGGGAGTAAAAAAATGGAAGTATAGCGCTTCCTTCTGATCTACATACGCTGCACAATTAAGGTCTAATAGAGAAAGATCTTAAACTTAGCGCTGAGCTCATCAGTGCCATCGGATCTGTCGCTGAAGGAGCGAAACGATGTCATTGATGACCTCTGAGTTTAAGAACCTGTCTATACCCTTCGTATTGTCATTTGTTGACATTGTTAAAAGGACGATTTTTATAACCATTGATTTCAGAAAGATATTGTAATAATAGCAATGAATTGTATTTTTAGCAGATCAAAATTTTGCAAACAATTTTTATTTCGATTGTAATACCACAAACACTTAAAAATCAACTTTAAATACAATCTTGAATGTGAATTATCAGCTAGATTGAGATAATAAGATTTTTTTATTCTTAATTAGAAGAGGAATCTTGTTTATATAGGTCTCTGAGAAAAGATTAGAAGTGGGAACATGGGGAGGTTCCTGCTTTGTTACATTGTATTATCTAGTACTACATTTTTAAATATCATGGCAAGTAGTTCTAGTGAAAATGGTAATGGTTTGCTATTATATCTCCACAACTATTCATTTTATGCACAAAAGGTAAGTTTATTATTTCATTATATTTCTTCTTCTTTTAAAAAAAGTCTGAATGTATTTTATTTATTAAAGGTTTTCTTATGACAATGAATAAGCAATAATTGTTATTCTCATTTTCAGGTAATGATTGCTTTATTTGAAAAAAAGCTTCCTTTTAAACAATCTGCAGTTGATATAACATCTGGTGAAAATTATAAACCATGGTTTTTGGAGATAAACCCACGGGGTGAAGTTCCAGTTTTGAAAGATGGAGTTAAAATCATACCTGATTCTGGTCGTATCATTGATTACTTAGAAGATAATTTTAGTAATGGTAAGTTTATCATTGTTATTTACATCCTGCAAATAAAGATAGAACAGTATTTTACTTGCATAATTATTTATAGTTACAGTAACTTTAAGATAAAAATAGGAGAAAGACTTTCATATAAACTTTATCTTCCCCATAACATTTTTTTGGGATTCCACTCTAGCAGTTTCATTTCTGTCGTCTGATGGGCCAAGATAATATTGGTCACATCCCTAACATTCAATATATAATTACATGTTGAAAGCCAAAATATGCACAATTTTTTGTGTTTGGCTGATGATAATCATGACTTTCTGTTTTATTTCAAATAATTAACACAGGGCTCAGGCTATATTTTATGCCAATGATTAAAATTAATAATTTTTATGTTTCTGACCATTGATAACCATGATTCAGATTATTGAACTCAACAAACTTTAAATACCTATATTAGTACTAGTTTACAAGAGTTCTGCATGGATTACCCGTGGTTCACAATCACTTCGGTCATACTTGTCCATGCAGTGCCGAATGTGTTCGGGTTTATCCGAAAGAGAATGAAGGAGACCGATCTCTTGAGTCAGTTACTGTTTACTTTCCCGCCATTTAAGTAATTCTATATTCTATCAGAAATTTAGGTTACAAAAATAGAAATAGATAAAAACCTTTAATTATTATATCTCTGAATGCTATTTCACGATATTTATTTTTCCTATTGATGATTTCTATTAATAATTATCTCGGAGTTATCAGATATTCTTTGTCGGTAATTTCCCCAATACGTTAATGCCTTCCTTGAAAATAAACATCCAAATAAACACAATATTTTTTTTTTTTTTACGAATGGCTACATTAAATCTTCATTTTTGGATTATTAAGCAAAATAACTATGAATAACAATAATTACACAGCTAATTCATTTAATAATAATAGCGATCAAAATGAGAAAATAAATTATATGTTAACAGTATAGTCCAACTAACTGGCAAATCTACGGGCTCTGTTAGGGTTGGCCATCATGTGAATAAATATTTATCAATATATAACGATTAATAGAAACATTTTATCCGTTATTCGTTATATAAATGGTTTTTGACAGTTGATTTCTTGGTTATTCATTAGTCACAGCTGAATCATCTATTATCTAGGCCTTGAAGTATGACTCAAACATCATTTTATATATTTTCTTTATTTTTCTTCCAGAGTAATTACCGTTATAATAAAAATTAATTATTAACAAATTAGTAAATACAAAATTCTTTAATAAATTGCTAATAAGGAAGTTTTATGATGGAAATACGAGAAAATAAAAGACAGCAACATTCGACTTTTTTCGGGATTCCATGGACAAGTGTGACTGAAGTGATTGTGAACCAGGCATAGTCCGTGCGGAACTCTTGTGAACTAGTACCCCAATAATTTTGGATCTAGTAATTTAATTAAATAACAGTGATTAGAGTGAGGAAACAAAATTAAGGTTAAAACATAATCTAAAGGCTGATGAATAAGTCACCAACAAAAATTAATAACTAAAATTATCAAGGTTACTTAAAAAAAACACAATGTTTATAAATTTCATGTATTTTTATTGAAACTTGGTTGTTTACTGGTATTACTCTACTTGGATGGGTAGGCACAAGATCTCATGACCACACTATACTGAGATTTGTCAATTTATTGGCAAGTGTAACCTCATTTTATTTAGATACGCTTTTTGAGCCTTAAGCGAACTTCCAATTGATCCTTTTTAGTTAAAATTGGAGCCGTGTATTCCCTCAAAAGGAATACACAAACCCCTATAGGTCCTTTTCATTTCAGATCAGGCCTTACCACATGGTTCTCCATCTACTTTTGGATACACATAGCCATTCTTAAAATCTTGTGCCGACCCATCACAGTGGAGCAGCACTTGTAAAGCAGTACCGAAAGAAGTTGCTGACATACAATTTTTTCTTCAGAAAGATTGGAATGCATTTCCATATATTACAGGAATGATTTTTTTTATTAGAGTTGATAGAGTTGAGAAATCTAAAGAAGGCAATTATATCGAATAATGATTTGTGAATGAAGAAAACACTTGTGGATTTGGTCATGAGAAAAATAATTCAGTGTAATTTTAATAATCTATCTCTGTAGACCCTGAAATTAAAATGGAGAACAATTGAATATTTTAAGTCTAACAATAAATATTTTAAGTCTAGTTTAGTTCACCAGTGATCCAATCCAGTGACCAAACAGCCTTGGTCAAAGTTTTAACGAAGTAATTTTTATGATTTTGTCTATATTTGCCTGCTTTTTTTTAGAAATCTCTTTCCAACTTAAAATTGTTGATGTTGTTTATGGTTGAATTTTTTTTTCTTTACTTTTTTTTCTTTATTATTACATATAAATGTTTTTCAGGAGATCATCCACGTCTTATACCTCAAGACCCTGTTCAAAAACAAAAAATGAACAACTTTAGAGAAATGATTGATAGGATAAATGGCAATATTGTCACTATTGGGACATTTTATCATCCTGATTTAGCACAAAACCAAAAATATCCATTTATTGCTCCAGTTAGGAAAGTCATGAAAGGTATGTTCATGAATTTTTATTTGTTAGTTTACTACAGTAACTTTCATTGCTTCTATTTACTTTTAACTTTATAAAATATTATATTATTAAGTTAGTTTTAGCTAATGTATTAAAAAGTAAAGTAATTCATTTCTACAGCACCCTTAAATAATCTAGACCAGTGGTCAGCAAACTGTATGTGTCCCTAAAAACCACATTCACTAATAAAGGCTTCTGGAAAATTTATTAGTGCCATAGCTATATTTAAGTGAAAATTTCTTTCACTAAAAAGGTATAATGAGCTAAATAGGCGATACATTACTTGAAAGTACCTGTACTTTTTATTATTTGCAAATAGTTTTTTCCTAATAAGCTAAATGAGTAGACCATCACAAAATACTCATCCCATTCACTTCTGAGAGAGCATGCTTACAACAAAGTCTGGTAACCTGTTCGCGTATATAAATTTTGCTAATTGCTATTTATTGAGGATAACTGGTGTACAAATTATGATATATTTAATGATTTCATATAAATGAATAAATAAACTTAGTCTAATAAAGAAAACATTTAATAGCCACTGGCACAGGTGATTAGGGATCGTGAGGAGGACAAAGTCTCTACCTGTCTGAACATCAAGTACTTAAATTCAGATCCTTTCTGCTCAGAAAGGCTTTCCACTCCAATCTGCTAAGAGATGTAATAAAGATAAACGCTTTAGCCATCTAATGAATAAGTTGTTCCTAAACTCTGACCAGGGGCAATAAAGGTAAAAGTGTTGTCTATTGCTGGAGATAAAAAGAAATGCCATAAAATAAATGGCGGTCTCCCTTTGCTACTAAGCTTCAGCCAAAAAGGAAAGCCCAAGGAAATGGAGGGTGGAGTCGGATGGAAACGATCAATCGCAAAAAGTTGGATAAGCAGTCTGAAAGAGACTCTGGGAGTTACAATCAAGCTTAAGGAGGAGATCTTGGGAGAAGGCCATCCATGGTAGTAGAGAGACGGTTACAGATGGAAGTGCTGGCAAGAAGAACTTATAGGCTTCCTCGGAGATGGTGGTTCAGGGGAAGAGAAAATCAAGAAGCACCTCAAGATGACAGTGACACCAAAAACTAAAAAGAAGTAGCTGAAGACTCCACCATATTACAACCATATAGCCAGCTAAGTCAATAGCATTTATTATGGTATTATCGTTGTACATCTGTGTTTGGCAACAGTAAAATAATAGCTCGATTAGTCTTACTCACATTAGCATTACCCATTAAATCTTATTCTGAATATGTCTTGCTTTTTTATCTTTTCAATTTTTTATCCATTCATATTTGTACCATTTAGACATATAGATACAAATAGTAACTATACTTTTACCTAGTATATCATAACAGGGGATCAGTGATATCTAGCCTTTAAATACATAATCAGTATATTTTTAAATTGATTGTTTCCCTTCTGGAATTGATAGAAGTATGAATATAGTATAGATATTAAAATTGCTAAATAGAAATAAATGAGTTTCTAGAACACCTTGAATACCTTATAAAAACAGATAGCCATAAACACAGCACAACGTTACAACTACTATGATTTAAAAAACAACAATTGCCATTAAAAATGTCAGAAGAATTGTCAATAAGCCATATGTGGAGTAATTCGTTTACAAAAAATCTGATAGCCTTGACTAGTCTTTAACTTTTGCCATAGTAGTGATCTACTTTTAGAAATATAATTGGCAGTAAACATATCTAAAAAAATTGTTAAAAAGCTTAGGAGCTATGATTTGCTGAACTCTGCTCTGGTTTAGATCATAGATAATGGTTGGGATAACTAGTTCTCCACCTTATGTATGGTCATCGCTGTGCTCCAACTGCCTAAGTCTCTCTCAAAATGAAGGAAGTAACAGCTGTTAGTCAGTCTGATGAAAAATCTCAATTTCCTTCCATGAAACCATTTTGTGTGCCAACTTTGAGTTTAACCCAGATAGTTTCAGTAAAGGATATTAAATCCCTCCTGGTTATACTCATTCTTCTAAGACCGTAGTTATTCCTCACATAAGTGTATATATGAAAAGTATTTTCTTTAATTAATTCTTAAGGTTTTTAAAAATAAAGTATTGCGCAGTATATTCGGACTGAAAAAGGACGAGTCAACCTGAGAATTCAGGCAGTTACACAACACTCAATTGCATGAACTATATCCGGTTAATATAATTGAGATGATTAAGTTGAGGCGAATAAATTAGGCTTGTAAAATCGCTGGACTTAGTAACGATAGAATTCCTAAAAAGTTAGTATGCGCTTTACCGACTGGCAAGTGTACGAGGCATAGACCAAAGCGAAGATTGCGTTAAGACTGATCTGGCAAGGTTGGGTTTAGATGGAGCCCAGTGGATGAACGAATGTAGACATCGATTGGTGATATCGGCATAGAACCTTCAGATTTGCTGAACCTTATTATTATTTTCTCTAATTAATATTTTCTTGTTGGTGTGTGTTTTTTTTAAATGCAATATTATTTTATACGTTTTGTATTACTTATATGCACTAACAAATGTTAATTGAGATTAACTTTCATACCTATAAAATATGATAAGTGTAGATTAAAAACTGCATACTACAATATTTAAGGAAGGTTAGTATATAAGGAAAATATAAAAACCAAAACAATAAAACGAAAAAGATTTTTATATGCTTATTAATTCTATCAATAATATATTACAAGTTAATACAAATTATACAATTACCATTTATAGTTTTATTTACTATACTGTTATTAAACAAAATAATTATTGGATTTCCATTTTCATTTATTATTTTTGATTTGTATACTCATTTTTTTATGCATTACGAATATTTATTACTCATAAAGATTGGGCGCATTTTACTTATTTCAGCGGATTTCGAAAAAAATGGTGAGAAATTAAGAAAAATTGCTGAGGAAAATCCAAAATACAAGGATGTATTAATACAAAAGGCTGAAGCTTCAGAAAAAACTCGTGAATTAGTGGCTAACAAAGAATCATTTATTAAATACCTCGATCAAGTGGATGAAACCTTGTCTGCTGTTGAGAGTGAACTTACTTCACACAGTGGTACTCCTTTATTCATTTGTTTATTATTTTAATTTTTAAAGGAATATAATTGTGGATTGATGGTTGACCGTATTGAATAATTGAATAGAAGATTGGTTAGGATGATAGTCAAGAAAAAATTTAAAAATAAATAAGTATATTTATTCTTATTTTTGCAGACGTTTCGTCCCAATGTTCAAAACTGGTCAAATGAAAGTGTTGCAGTCTTGGGGAAATCTTTCATTTGACTAGCCCTAATAAAGGCCTGAACTTTATTTCGAGACTAAAAATAAATATACTTATTTATTTATACTTTTTTTTTTTCTTGATAATCCTAACAAATCTTCTCTTCAATTTTATAGAAATATTTTGCATGGTCTTTAATTTAATTTGATATAGTATGACTACCCGCTTGGAGTTCTGGAAAAGGATATACTTCTGACTTAATACATATTTGTGATTGGTTAGAACCACCTAATATTATTTTCATTTGATGATATACACTTGTTTTAGTTTCCCTCTTGATGATTTTTTCATAAAAATCAGTAATCACTGAAATTTAATATTCTCTCCTTGTTCAGTAAGTGAAACAAAAGAGGAATGAATCACAGAAGAGAAAATAATTTTTTTGAGGTGTTAGATTAAAGTACTATTAAAATATCTTAACTTAATTGAATATAATTTTATTATCTTTATAAGTGGTTAATATATTTGATTAATTATATGTTCCTATCAAGCTAAGATTATTCTTTTAAATACTTAATTGTAAATAAAGAAATCTAGAAGTAATGCTTATGAAATTTTTCAATTTTTAGATCCTGAAAGCTGGTTGATTTCAAAAGAATTTACTATTGCTGATGTTGGGTTGACAATGCTTTTAGAGCGGCTTAATTTAGTTGGTCTGGCGCATAGGTAATAACAGTAAAATATTAATTACATTTTTTCAATATATATATTCTATATGTAGAAAAAAAATTTAACCAATCATTATTTCTCACAATATTGGTAATGAAATTATTATTTTCTATCAAGATATTGGGAAGCCGGTGTGAGGCCTCAAGTCACTGATTACTTCAAACGTGTGCAGTTGCGGGAGTCTTATAAGAACACTATACCTGGGATGATGTTTCACATCAAGGCTCTGGTAGGGTTCAAGGTATAATGTATCTCTTTATTCTGCCCCACTAATTAGGATTTTGCAATATTTTTTTTAATTAAAAGGGATGCTAATTAGTGCTGTATATTTGATAATTAAATCACTTCAAATAGTAACTCATTTCTCATCAAATTATCTTTCATGAATTTCGTGATTGCCCCTCTTTTAATTATTTGTTATTTTTTTAGTTCTTCCATTGTAAATATTCCTATGTATTGTAATTTATATTTATTAGATATGAGTGCCTATTTAGCAAACCCTCTTTTTTCTAATATGATAGTGAAATAATTTATCCCAGGAGTCCCCGATCCTATGCCTTTCTGGGTCAACTTGTAACTTCAGTCATTGTATATTCGTGTGAGATGTTAAAAAAATTATTGTCCTCAAAATCAGAAATTTCCATTCTTGTTTTACATTACAGACATTGAGAATCAAATTTGATTCGCTGTCTGTCTGCCTGTAGTAAAATTTAACATATGTAGCATATACAATGGTTCATCTGATTTCATAAACTTCTCAGGGATTATGAGGGTTAGTACCTAGATGGCCCCTTATGAATTTTATCAAATTCTATCCAGCACTTCCCCTTGCACACGCTCAAACTCATTTTTTTTTTTTTAGTTAAGCCAATATTTCAGAAACGGCTCATTCTATTTGGCTCAAAGTACAAAAAGTAATATATTATCAATTTTATTAATTTCTGTCTACTACTTTCTCCTATATATGTGCAAATGTGTTTTCCTTGATACGTCTATATCTCATAAACAGCACCTTTGATTTGGCTCAAATTTGGAGGGTAGTTAGGGATTGGTAAACAGATAATCCAGTATTTATCAAATTCCATCCACTTCTTTCATAAAATTACTTCTACTTTTGGATCAGTAAACGTATTATTTGAAAACCGCTTGTTCAATTTGACCCAAACTTGGAGGAAATTTGGAGAATAGCATTGAAATTACCTTGTATCAATTTCATTGAATTCCATTTAATAATTAAAATTTATATAAACAACTGTCAACAATATAATGACAAAAACGCGTTATTATCTACCGTCAATACAATAAATAGAGTTTTTGTTATTTTAATGGTATTAATGAGTTCTTAAGCTTTAGCTCCATTAATAATGCATTTTGAAAATTTTGTAATAGCTCAACATTGTCAGAAAATAATTTATATTCAAAGTAGAGCGATAAGTGAAAGTATGAATGAAAATTAAATTACCATGTTGCTAATTTTGCATTAAATATATCCAAACACAAGTTGTGTGCTCCTGTGCATATTTCTTCTTTTATTGTCTCAGATTATAATATTATTGTCTTATTCTCCAAATTATTAAGTACTGACCAACCAAATGCAGTGCAAATATCGCATTATGTTTAGCATTTTTAATTCTTAAAAAGAAATTTTATGCCTTGCTTACATTTTTAATTTATTATTAAATAATTATTCATTTTATATAAAAATATTAGGTATATTTTTTTAAACAATAAAAAATATTCTTTTTTATTAGCTATGTCAATCAAAAAATCAAGGGAAAACAAATATTGATGTTCGACCCTTGACTATCAACCTATAAATGTATAAATGTAACTCATATAGTAAAAAGCTGGGGACTTCTGGCTTGGTTAATGTGAATTAACTTAATTTCAAGTTATTTCTTCAAAATAAACTAATAAATATTGACTTATTATTTTGCAAAATCCTCATTTATGTGTGGTTTAATATATTCCTTTGTTGTTTAGATTAATAATTGCTGATAAATTTTCTTTTGTAGAAAGTAGTTATAACTAGTTGTTTAATATCAAAGCTCCCAACATGGAAGAAACTTTTTCCAATGTTATTGTTGGATAAGAAGTAAATAACTGTAAGACATGGATAATTTCAGAATTATATTTTACCTGATCAAAAAGTTCATTTGCTGTCATGTCACAGTATGCCTATTATATTTTTGGGCTGTAACAGTCCTTTCAAAAGAAATATGGAGTTGTTATTGGCTATATTTTGAGCCATATAGAATATGCACATTGTTTATAATTGCTAATAAAAATGGTTAGCCTTGTACTTAAATTAGTTTCTTTTGTTAATTTGTTTTTTTAATTATTAGTTATTTCAGTTGCATTGATGAGCTTAATGAGAATGTTGACCATGGTTCCCTCTGATGATGTGGTAGATGTGGAAAAGCTTTTTCTGATATTTCGAAACTGTTGTTAAGAGATGCAATGTTGTCAATTGGAGTAATGAAAACATTGACATTTGTCTTGTGTTGCTGGAATACCATGCTTATGTATGCTTGACATCAAGTGCACTGATGTACAATTGTACTGATTTACAAGGTTCTTCAATAACAACTCCGCACTAAAATATAATTTTAATATCAAAAATAGGTTTTGTAGACGATTAAAGCTTAATATCATTGAAAAGAATCAGATGTTAATATCATTGAAAAGTGTCAGATATTATTACTTTGAAGACATTGGCTTCTAAATCTTGGACATTACTCTCTTTTGTGATGTAGGTTTTTAATAACTACCTGTTTAGCCATTCACTCTTGTGTCTGATGAATATGAATGTTGAAATTGTTTTTGAGGAAGTAAATAATAGTTGTTCAAAGTTGTTGTTACATGATATACTATTTCTGGCTTACTTCTTAAGTGGTCAGTCAATCGATAACCATCTTTCTTACATTTTAGTTACTAGTACTATTGGTGGAATTTTCTAAGAGCTTTTCTTTTTTCATTTATTAGGTGCTGATAAGTGACTGAAGCAACTGTTAAGTTTAATATAATCTTTCTTTTTCAGTTATTGAGATTATCATAATATCTATCGTTCCATTGTGTTTTCTGGGATCTCTATGGCTATACATTTATATATTCCCTCTGCCGATTTCCACCTCAAATGCTCCATTTTATACTTACACATATCCATCAAAACACTCATATTTTTGTTATACATTTTGTTAGTCTCTCTGATGTACTGACTGTCAAGTAGTTAGTGATATATATTGAACATTTTGTAAGGGCTGCTGTCTACAATCTTCTAGGACTTAATTTTTTTCTCAATTGCCTTGAGCTTGTTTGAGGAAGGAATTGGAAAAGTTGCATGTTGGGAGAAGTGTACTAAAGCTTTGATTACTTAATAATTTTGTTGTATGTATTTAGTTTTTTCTTTTGTTTTATTTTAATTTTCGATATTTTGTGTGACCTTATCAAATAATATAAAAACTGATTACATGTTTTACTTACGTTAGTAAATTAATACAGTAAAACATTATAAACTCAATTTTTTAGAAACTAAATCGAATATTTTATGCTCTTTTTTTCAACAGAATCGTATTGATCTTTTTTTTTTTGTTTATTTTGTTTGTTTTTTGAATAGGTGAAAAAGGTTCTTCACTGCAATTGAACCCTATCTGAGGAGCAAATAAAGGCACTCAATAATTTTGTCTGTATTGTTGTATATTTTATTGCTTTTTTTATGGCTTGTATTGTTTATGTTGTGAATTATTTTTTTTATCAAATTCTTTTAATTTTGCAATCTGAAGCTGGGACTGTAGCATCATGAGACTGCTGAAGTATATCACTGTTGTCATTAATAAAATAAAAGGTGATTTCCTGATACTTTATTCATTTGTAGGTCTTAAAATTTTATATAAGTAGTGTTGTGAAATTTTTAAAAATCTATTGTTATAATTTGTTGTCTTATCATTATTGTTTGTTGTGTTAATTTTTATATCGGTCTTGGTAAAATAAAAGTTTTATTAAAATTACATTAAAAGAAATTAAAACATTCATTTTAGCTTGTTTGTTGTTTAATTTCTTTAGCTAGAAGATTGAATAAAATTAATGTTAAACTCTTCTTCATTTATCATGTTGAAATAACTTTATCTATGTGGAAACATACTAACCTATGTTATTTACTAACTTAATTTTTTAAGTTATATAAATTACAATTACACTATTATTTTTATTTAAACATCTGATTAAATACTGTGAACAAAGCCTTCCTAAGTGGAGCTATGGGAGGGATTACCCACAACTATCTTATGTTACCACTACCCATAACCCCATAACCAGGCACCTCTCTGGAGTAAATTGAGCTGTGCTCTTCCTACTAGCATGAAGTCCATCCCTTCCCAGACTCAACGGCTGTGAGTGAGAAGTTGTATTTTAGCTGTACAAAGGTGTGGCTTAAGAGGCCTCAAAAATTTACTAGTCCTTGAAGAACTCTCCAGTAACCAAAACTTAATTCTTGATTACGATACTTGTTTTATGCTAGGTAAGTGCTAAGTTCCCTTATACAGGTTGGTGATTTTAACTAACTCTTATTTAGTTATGGTGGCCATCCTCAAGTGTTTGTCAACCATCTAACCAAGATAATCTCTATTAAAGTTTTCAATATCTTTTACCCATATGGCCAACTATTTTTAAACTTATTCTAATATAATTATATATTTTTAATAAATATTAATACATATAAACCAAAACTATAGTATGGTAGTAGTGAATAAAAATTATAATTTTTAACTTTTTTTTTAAAATCAGATTTAATGTAAATGTTTGATGAAATTTCAAAGATATATTTAATGTGTATTTTTCAAATAAATTTTTGTTTAACTTAAACTGTTTTGTTTTCAGCACTGTTTCACATTTGTTTGTATTCCTTTACTCTATCATTATTTTTTCACTTTTAATTTTAAGGTTCTTGCTGGTCTTGGAACACTTTGTGCTGCCGTAGGTGGTGGAATATATTGGTGGAGGCGGAAGTCTGAATAAAGTTCTTAGGAATATTGCAGTTTCATTAATTTAGAACGTTAATAAACAAGTGATAATTCCGTTACTAGTGATAAAATATTTGTATTGGAAGAGTAGTTTATATTGTTAAAAAATATTATTTTATTTATATTAAAAAATGTTTCATTAAAATGATTATTATAAATCCGTCACTTCAGTCTGTTAATTAACGAATTAGTTCTTTATCGTAAGCAGACTTTCCTGTTATCCTTTTCAAGTTTAAAAATAATCAAGTCCATTTAAATGACCATAGTATTTCACTAGACATTTTGTTTCTACAATAAGAATAAAATAAATAAATATTAGTTGGATAAATTATTTATTGGTGCTAAATAAAAGAAGATGATACATGAATTAATTCAAGTGATTATTGATGATGTGTTGATAAACATTTTGTAATTTATACCACCTTATGTGATCTTTTATTTCACATTAAAAACATTAATTAAAATATATGGTTTTTATAATCTTACAGAACTAAAAGAATCTATTACATGACATGATATTACTTTAAAATATATACATTTATGTTACTTAATATAACTGAAAAATCAATAAATTTAGGTTTATGTAGGTACATCTATTGCAAATTCATTCAATGTCACATACATTCTAATAAGTACATAAACGCTTAATTTAAGTTAAAAGAAATCACTTTCACATCACTTTTCCTAGATGAAGCTGGTTGAATAATAAGATTTTGTAAAAATGTATCTTATATAAAATTATACAAGAACCAAGCTTTATTTGTGACGAGCTAATATAAATTTAATTTCTTATTAATATAAATTTTAATAAGAAATTTAATATAAATTTTTATCATTTTTTTTGTTCATATTAAAATGTTTTAGATTTTCTTTGATAGTTGTTATAAAAGGGATTTTAATATATTTATACTAAATATATATATTTAGACACATTTAAGTAACTTTATTTGTAGATTTTGAAATGTCACATTATTTCTCAGGCTTATGCATTTTTTAGTTCAAAGATTCTTTTAAAAATAAATGGTGATTGTGGACGATAAGTTCATTCACTATATTGTTGCGGCAAACAATGGGAAAACATTGTACCTGAAATGGCTTCATTCTAGCTTCAAATTTTACTTTAACACTGCGACTACTCTAATTTGATAAGACATAAAGTAGTTTAAGATAGAAAGTTACTTTTTTACATACTTAGTATAACTGCGGTTATTAATTATTCATAAAGCACTTTAATATTTTGCTGTGCCTCGTATTGTGTTTTTAAAATAAAATTATTTTTTGTACCAAAAATTTATTTATAAATCCATGAATGAAGTTTTATTCATCAGTGGTTTATTTAATGCTTACATTTTTCTAATGAGATAATTTAAAGGTAAAACTACTTTGGATTTATTCTCAGTTTTAAATATGAATTTAATAGTAAATAGTAAGACTACCTTTATATTATTTAATAAAGAATTGTTTTTTTTATTATTCTTTACATAAAATTAATGTTTCCCAAGAGTGAAACCTAATCCTTCATAGACACTAGTTAAAACAACTATTAAGAAACATTTTAGATACTAACATAAAATTTTGTGTCTCCCTTCGCACCAGTTGAAACTGTGATATGATTTTTATCATTAATACTTTGAAGAAAGATAAATAGATGAACAATATTCATAATATATATACAAAATATATAGAATTATATATATTTTATTTAACAAACTTTATTTTTAATTTTTTTATATATATGAAAATTACTAATAATTCAAACCATTTTCCCCATATTTTCTGCTCTAATTCTATTTAATACCGTAAAATATAATTAAAAAATTTGAAAACTACATTATAAATATTCCAAAAATTTAGTTTTTAATGTCTATTTTGTTAACATCCATGTAGGCTGATGTGTTTTAAATATAATAGTTGATTTCTTGAAAATTTTCTGGAAGGAATTGAGTTAGACCCAAAACATGAAAGTTCATCACCAATAAATTGAAATCTAACAACACTATCAGAAATAGTTGGATGAATACTTATGCACAATCAATATCCCAGATCCTGATAGATGCTGTTGGATAGACAACAATTATTATACGTCTTGAATACTCAACTGGAATCTATAGAAAGAGAATCCTGATTCTTCTAGTTTGATAATGAATACCAAACAGGCATTGAAACCAAAAACCAGAAGTTCAATTAAGAAATACTGTACAAGGCAAATAGAGGAGAACACCCTATGGTGTTTAAAAAAAAAAAAAAAAGCAAAATGAGAGAAAAGTACTGGTTTGTTATTGATCAGATGTTTAGCATTCATACTATTCTAGAGATAGGGCATGAATATTATATCAATGGTTGTCATTACTTCATAGACATGAAGGTTTGTAGTTGCAGCCTGTACCTAGGCTTAGGTAACTTTGGAATATCTTCCAAACTCATCAGGCTCACCAAACTTGTAGTGAATGTAAGAATTAAGCACAGAGAATGACATAAGTCACCTTGGTTTTTCTATCACCTTACTTTTTAATTTGGCCTAAGCAATAGGTTAGAAGTAACCTTCAAATAAGATCCACAATATGGAAGTAAAACCCCCCTCTGCCATCTGATGGCATTAAATATTGCAGGCTACTGTAATATTGGATCATCACTAGTAGTGATAGGAGCATTTTTATTCTTTCCAGAACTTGCAAAGCCACTAAGACTAGCAGTAAATAGCTTGAAAACTTAAGCACATCTGAGAAAGTAGAAAGAAAAACAGTGCCAATCTGCTCATGCAAGTTTGAAGAAGTAACAAAGGAAAAACTGGTACTCCTATTTGAAGGAAGGCTATGATGAGTTAGTCATCTGGTCCAAATGATAGGCAAATATTCCAGTTTAACTACAAGAATTCAATCTTTGGTTGAAGTCGGAAGGCAGGCTGGTGCTTGGGTTATATCACTATTAATAGTTTTTAATTGATGTATGCATATACTATAGTCAGTAATATAAGTGACATCCAGTTTACATGTTATATTATTATTACTGCATTTCTGTATAAATTTAATTATTTTTATGCCCTCCGTAATTTCTTCTTACCCATATTACTAAGGTTGTCTTTTTTTGAAAATTACTAATGAAAAATTTATAAAATTAATTAATTTGGACTTAAAAATGAGTATAAAACAATTGATTCAAAATATTTATAACTGATTATTAATTTTAAGTATATGTATTTATTTCTTATTGTTCTTTTAGTATTTTCTAGGTATGTAGTTATTCAAATTTTCTTCAGATATTTTCTAGGCAGCTCAGATAAGTTTATTACCTTTTTTTTCTTTCATATTTTAACATTTATTTTATTAATATTTATTGATTCATTGAAATAAAGTAGTTTAATTAAAAATATTGGTTTTTAATTGTCTGAATATATAACGTGTATTAATTATATCTAACCATTTTATATTTTTAATTTAAAGGTTATAGCTGGGATTGGATTGGCTTTAATATTGGTTGGATTAGGCGGAGGCTTTATCATCTGGAAGCGCTGTACTAAATCTAGTTAAATTATTATTAATTGTATAATTTACATAAAAAAGTAAATTAAAAAACTTTGTAATGTATATTTGTAAAAATTGATTTAATTAGTCTATAAGTCTTTAAGTTGTTATATGATCGAATCAATAAATAAACAAGACAAAAAAAAAAAAATTAATGATTAACCTGAAGCGATTACATTTTTTTTATGAAATCATATTTGTACATTTCATTTCTATTTCCTGAAATTACTTTACTTTGGTTACAAATTACACTTTTTTAGTTAGTAAAATCTAGGATTAATTGTCTTTAACATCTATTTGTATTAATCTCAACTAAAAATATATTTATTATAAATGCCTCTGTGGTGAAATTTGCTGGTTTCACTGCTTATTATACTCAATTGTTATATCATGCCTTATAAGAAATAGTTGATTAAATGTTAAGCTCTGATAGGTAACTTGGTAATCGCACATGAATTGTTGCTTATATAAAAAAATAGTTCCATTGTATAAAAACTAAAATTAAGGTTTTGAATAATAACAACCGATTTTATAGGCTTTTTGTAAGATATGTAATTACTTAAGAATATTATGTACATAAATACTCTTTTGGGAGTGACAATAAACAGAATGCTCGTGGATAAATAACGTACACGATCAAATCCATAATTGAGCTTTATAATAAATTTTGTCATAATGCTAACTAAATTTTCCACTCTGTTTTGTAACTAGCTAATATATCCTTCCCAGTTGTAAATCATATTTGTGTTCTTGAGCATGATTGGTTATAGAATACTTGTCTCTGCATCTCTTATGAGTCAATAAATAAAATTCTTCAGGTTTCAGACTTTCTATTCTGCTGCATATAATTGTTATTGAACACCAAATTAGTCTTCAAAATAGAATCCTATTACATCACTATTCATTTTTAACTCTTATTTTCTTTTAAATAGGATCTCATTTATTTCTATTAAAGTAATGAGATTTGAAATGAATAATTTTGTAATTTGTCTGTGAATATTTTATAATTTTATATTCGTTAATTTAATTATGAACTAAGTTATTAAAAAGATAAATAAGTTTTTAGTTATTAGTTTATCTAACAAAACTGTTATTTAGAAAGAACAAGATTGACATTTTAAATGTGGTTTCTAGAATCGTTAATTTAATAAAATAAATATTTTAATGAAATTGTCTATTCTTTATCCACTTTTTATTTTATTTTGATGATATCGTTAGTGGGTTTGTGTAAGTTGTTTAGGCATTATTTTCCATAGATCTTCGAGCCAGTGTTTCCTTTTTCATTATTGATTTCAAGTTTTATATTAGGAATTTTAAACTTTCGAAAGGCTATCGCTGATATTGCAATTAAAAATTCTAACAAGCTAATACCCTGAATTAAAGTTGATTTAGTTTAAAAACCGTTGCTATTCTCATTCAATTTATAATAGATAATAAGTGTGAGATAGACCCTCTTTTATTAATATAAATCATATGAATAAATTATATTTATTTTTGAAGTGAAGAGAAGAATAGTTGGTGTGGTCAGTCAAAAAAGAAGGCAAAAATAAATGATAATATTTATTTTTACATATGCCGACGTTTTGACCTGAAGTTCAGGCCTTCATCAGGGCTAAGAAAATAACCAGATAACAAGGTATGAGAAGCATAAGTAGTGATGGTAAAAAAAAAAAAAAGAAAAAATTATAAAAAGAAATAAATATTTATTTCTTTTTATAATTTTTTATTTTATTTATTTTTTTTTTTTACCATCACTACTTATGCTGCTCATACCTTGTTATCTGGTTATTTTCTTAGCCCTGATGAAGGCCTGAACTTCAGGTCGAAACGTCGGCATATGTAAAACTAAATATCATCATTTATTTTTGCCTTCTTTTTTGACTGACCACCCCAACTATTCTTCTCTTCATTATCCACGACAGTCAACCATTTACCAATTATATATTTATTTGTGTGGGACATAATTGATCTAATACAAAATAATGCCTATTGATCTGATCTATTTAAACCTCATGGGTGAATGATAACCTATCCTTTGTTGAAGGTGATTGATTAGAAACAAGAATGAAACTAGGGAGGAACACGGCCAGGTACTTATTTCAGTCTGCAGAACTTAGGAGCTGGCGAATTTCGATACTATTAGCTTATTTTAGGTTTTTTGACTTTAATTCAGTCAATGACAAGAGTTAATATTACCTATGGGGTTAGCAACATTATGCTTGCCATTCCTGACTAAAATCCTAGTTTTGGCCCTGATTACAAAAAAAGAAAAGAGATATCTGCACAAAATTACAATATTTTATAGGCAGTCTACCAACTGCTTTCTACAGTGCCTGATACCACGTCCTGATGAAGACCTATAGAATGGGTCAAACCGTCAGCTCCAAAATACTATAGCCAATACTATACTATAACCAATAAAATACTATTTTAGTTTACAGTATTTCTTTGAGCGCACCCCCGACCAACTTCTCATATTATAATCATGATCAACCATCTCTACACCATTATAATATTTTATGTTCGTAAGGATATCTGCTCAGTTAACTTGAACCTACTTGTTGCAATTTGGGTCAATTTTTAAGCCACTTATTCAATTTTAGATTATTATAAGCTCAATGGTTTATTGTGTTGGTAGTCTTTGAAATAGAGTGAAATACGGAGTCCAAAAGCCATGGTGGTAATTCCCTGCCTTTTTGAAGAAAACGTTTTTCACAGGTCCTCTAATGCTCACCCTTATCATTCAATTTACAATTGTCTTCCTATTCAAAATGGCGCCCATCGAAAGAGTTTTACAAAGAACTGTATTATTTCAAGCACTTATAGAAATATTCACCGGCCTATATGGCGGCTAATCTTGTCTGCCTTAATTTGGAAGGGGTAGCGCACAGGCACACAAAATTAATAATTCGTGTTTTTAAAATTTTTTATAATGTTTTTATAACCAAATAGTGCCCTACATAAAGACAAGAACTTTATAACCATAAAATTGTATTCTTTTTTTTTGTATCCCTTTTTTCTGACTTTGCTCTGCATGAATTTTTAAGTTATTATATATCAATCCATTTGTTTTTTATGTAAAATAAGAAAAATGATTGCTAATTATATCAAATAAATTCTTATGTATAATAAATTACAAACACCCAAAGACGCTTCCAGAAAAGTAGGCCAAGTCAATTTTGACAGGATTCAGATTGCTTTTTACCGTCCAATTAAACTCTTAAATACGAGTACGTTTTTTAAAAAAATAATTAATTTGTGGGCCTAATTTTACGGAAGGATTCTTTTTCATGCCGTTTACTAAAATATTTGTAACTCCTAAAGATTTTCTCTTAAGTTAACGTCACTACAAATCTTTTTTTTTTCTCCCCTTATTCGCCTTCTAGGCTATACTGGGTTTTCTCGGACAAGGGGGTGTGAGGGCAGGGGATTAATGCCAAGTTTAAAGAACACGTTGAAACCGGGGTGCGAATTCGTAATTATTTTATATTTTATAAGTTCGGTTATCAGGCTGCCGGACAACGTGCGGTGCTGTGCAGACACGCGTTAGCCCGTTTGGTCAGACAAAAAAAAAAAAAAATGTTAAAATTTACAAACTACTCTTTGTGATGGATAAGAGATGTTCATGAATAATCTGTACCGGACTCAATCATTCGGCGCACCTGGGCTATGACATGATCTACCCACTAAAAAAAAAATATGTATTAAGCTGTTTTAAATTATGTAATATTTGGATTTTATTTCATTATAAAATTTCTCTAATACAGTTGCTTTATCGATAGATTAAAATTAATTATTTAATAACGTTTTGAAACTTTTTTATTATTTCTTACAGATGGTAAGCGCCCTTAAGAACAGCCGGCGCCCCGTGGCAATTGTCTCGATTGCTCCAGATTAAGGCACTGTAAATAATTTAAAATTTAATCAATTTATATTTGTTTCCGAAAAATCAAAAAAGTAAAAATTTATGATTAAATGTTTTATAAAAGTATTTATCTTAACCATAAAATAAAATTATTTTATTTTCAACCACAATCCAACAAATATTTATTGCATTTTATACATACATATATTACAATTTTAAAGATGTTCCAAGTTTAAAAAAAAAAATAAATAATAAAATGAGAGACCTCTTTGCCGATATTTAGTTTAGGTTCTACAAAATATAATTTGTTTATTTGTTCTAATTCTGTTTTATATATATATATATATATATATATATATATATATATATATATATATATATATATATATATATATATATTAGTTGGCCTAACACTAGCTCTATACTATACTAGTTCTATAGCCTATACTAGTTCTACAAAATATAATTTGTTTATTTGTTCTAATTCTGTTATATATATATATATATATATATATATATATATATATATATATACTAGTTGGCCCGTGCGAATAAATTGCAGGAAATTTTCTTTAGTGAAGAAATAGCAAAAAAATATTTAAATAAGTAGATCCTATGTATTATATATGAAAGGAATTAATATTTTTCCCTTGGTCGGTTACAATATTACATGTAACATACATCAAATTATTTGTACAAATTCCTTTGCTAGAACCTGTTTTTAAATGCTGACTGGAAAGATTATAAAGACAAAATAAATCTTCGATCATGGGATTTTCTAAATTATCAAAAAAAAATAAATTGTATATTCTTAAAGAGGAAGAAATTATTAAGTATACCTAAAGTATTGGAATGTATCTACGCTAATAATTTTTGTTTGTTTTGTAGGTAATTTAATAACCTTTCTAATTATCATGGGTACAATCTAGAAAAAAAAATCATACTTTTTGAGTTATTCGTAAATAAAGTTTCTTTTCCTTCAAAACATTTTTTCCAGAAATTTGGGGGGGGGGATAGGACTATTTTTCGCATGTGAAGGAGAAGAATATCTTCAAAATGAGTGGTATATCATTGGATTTGACGAAGTTATGGCGTACCGACAAAAAAATTCCTTTTAGAAATAATATATAGAATACAAGAACTGTGCTGAGATAATCGTCATGTCGACGACTTCACAAATTTCATGTTGTTTTTGCTTGGCGTTAATTAAAACATTCATAACTCCTTAGGATTTTATCATAATTTAATGTTTCTACAACCGTTGGGAAGCTGAATTATCGCTCTTTAAGACCGTATAAATAATTTTTTGATTTAACACATCTATAGAGAGTAAATAAATAAAAACTCCTAACAGATTTTCATTTTATAACTTGAGTTTTTAATTATTATAGTTTTCAATAGGGGAGTATAGTTAGTGTTATTTCATGTAGTTTATAAGGCCCTATATTCCTGCAAAATTTCGTATAAATACGAGGAAGCATATTGAAGTTATCACACTTTTTGTGATTTTCGAAAAATAATCAAATTTGTAGAAAAAAAAATTTATTTTTCGATCGTAATGAAAATTCGTATTCGGCCTTTCGAGCTGCTAAATACAAATCTCAACTCTGTTTCTCCTTAAAAAAATATTTCAACACACTTTACTCCTTCGGTCGGTACAAATTGTTTAAATTTTATCAATTTTTAATTGATTTTTAGGATTTTTTTTGTTTTTTAGGTAATTTCAATGTTCAAGATTTTCAAATATCAAAAGTGGCAATGCATTGAAATTACCATAGCGTTCATTTCTAGTACATCAGAGCGATCTTCTACCTCCCTCAAAAGATTTTGTAAACCCCTCCCAAGATATTTAATTGCTTGCTTCTCCTTAATAAAAACTTGATTAAATATTGAGTTATAAAAATTGTAGTGGAAAAATAAACCTTACTCATAAAAGAAACCCTACGATAAACGGCACAACCTTATTCCAACGTTATGTTAAAGAAAATAATTTATATAAAAATAAAATAAACTGAAATCAATAAAAATCTGATTTCTAAAAAGAACATAACTGGGGATAATTATTATTCAAGAGTTAAATATTAGCATATCAAATATTTCAGATGTATCATACTACTTCCATAATACACTGGAGAGGGGGGATGAATAAAAAGAGCGTATAATAGTATTGACCTGCATAAGGAGAATCATATCACTTCTTCAAATGATGATTTCAATTACTGCAGTAATTATAAAATTTTCGAATAATCAATAACGAAAAAAAGGGGCTTTGTTGAAGAGAAAGTAGTAAATGTTTAAAACTCCATAACTCTACAACGAATCGTCTGATTTCGATTATTTTTTTTTATTTTCTACACACAGTAGCTTAATATATGTACTAGTGGACGGTGCTGAGACTGTCGGTGTGTCCCTCGCCTAATTGAAGCTCTATTTTTAAAATTCTAGCTTTGAAGAGGATCCCATCGTTGACTTATAAAAATAAAATACCGGAATCAAAACGTCAATGAACATAGAGGAAATGAACATTCAGTAGTTTATTAAATAATTAATAAGTGACCTTATTCCCAATTAAATAGTTATGTTTAAATATATATATATATATATATATATATATATATATATATATATATATATATATACATAGTTGATTGATAATATGTATATATATATATATATATATTGATAAAATTTATATGTATATAGGCACACATTTAATACATGTTTTATTAGGTATCAGATAGGTATTGAATATTATTATTATTAAATTTCAAATTATTAAATAAAATATCAAACCCGATCAGTAATCAATTACAGTTGAATTAAAATATCCGATACAATTATTGGTGTATCAAAACCAAGCGCCAGTCAGTGATACCGCTCGGGTATCTGATAAAAGTATCTAATCTTCAGTATATCAAGTCCTGGTATCAGATAAAAATATCCGATACAAATATCGAATAAAAATATCCAATACAATTATCAGATAAAAATATCCGATACAAGTATCAGATAAAAATATCCGATACAAATATCAGATAAAAAATAATAGGAAGGTAATGACAAACTACTGACTGACCCATTTGTATCAGATACAAAAAAGTACCCGTATCAGTTGTATTCAACTAGGTACAAAAGTTAACAGGCTAACAGAACTAGGTACAAAAGTTCTGGTATCACAGCCCATCCTGCCGAGATGGGCTTTCGGGCTGAAGTTCTCCCCTCTCCTCCTAAGGATGGAGAGGGGGTTCAACTCTCAATGCGCTAGGATTATTACTTGTTCTCGGACTGAAATAACCATTTTTATTTATAAATTAGATATGAAACCATTTTGACCTTGATAATTCATAAAAACAAACATTGAGTAAAAAAAAAAAATTGTTATTAGAAGTTTAACATTTATACATATATTCTAAAAGGTGGGGGTTTTAATCAGTAAAGTGAGAAAAATAAGATAATAAATCCGAAAACTGTCATATAACAACACAACCGGCTTTTAGCCAGTAATGAAAAATTCATAGGCGAGAATGCGTGGTTGAGTTAGAATTTTTTCTGTTCTCCAAATCAACAAGTTCAGTAAATTTATACTAAAGGTTAGACACTAAAGAGTTATGTTTCGCTTTTACAAACTACGAAGTCAATAAAAGAAAACTCCTTCCAATGATCTGTGTTTCTGATTGACAAATTTTTTGTTTTGGCTAAATTTGTATACACTGGCTGTAATATATGATTATTTATAAATATATATGATTATTTGTGGAAAATAGAACAACTTCCATAAGTATAATTATTATATGAAAATAATTCGGGAATTATAGTAATTAAAATTAGTTGTGTTTGAAAAATATCGCAGTGTGAATCTACTACTGAAAAGTTGCACTTAAACTTTAAGAAAACAAAAGGATATTTATACTATAAATTATCAATGAAATTTGATATTAAAAAAAAGATGATACACTTAATCGTTTTTTTTTTGTTAATATTTAATTCATTAAAAACCTAAACAACAAGCTAAGGATTTTCTTTTATGAATGAAGCATAATAAACTTTAGTAGACAATAATACTTGTATGAAAGACAGGAATATTCAAAGTATTGGCATAAATTGTATAAACAAAATTGGTTTAATGTTAGTAAAAAGCCCTCTTTTTATTTTTATTTTTATTTTTTTTGTCATACCTCTTGAAGGTACTGTACTGTAAGGTACATCTTTAATTTTTTTAAAGATGTACAAAATTTCACATAACTAGATATAATGCGATATTTCACCAATGATATTTATACTAATAAAATAAAACTTTTCAAGCTTTGATCTTCTCCTCACATGGATTGAAATGAAAATCTTTTAATCAGTGGGTGCATCTTTATCACAAGATTCTAGTTACATTTTGTTTTTATGAGAAAATTTATGAGTGAACCAAAACATTAATTTATAATCCTATCGTAAAAGGATTATAAGGGCTAGTTGTTACTATCTCAAGAGCTTTCGTAGAGAATTGTTAAAGGGAATATATTGAAATGTCGAGCCCACTGTATGCTAAGAATATTTTTATTAAGTTCTTATCTCTCCAAAAAATAAAATAAAAATTCTTTTTAAGGTACAGCAGTTTACTTTCTAAGAAGACAGGCCAGTTTTCTTCGTCATTCAGTCCAGTAAGGATGGCGAGTGGAGAGGGATCTGGAACAGAACAGAATGATAAGGAGATTCTTCTTTATCTACACAACCATTCATTTTACTCTCAGAAGGTTAGATGATTTTATTTATGATATTTATCATATTATTGTTATTTTCATAACTTATTGTATTATGGTCAAACTGAAATTGATGGACTACGTTGTTATTGCAAATGAAAATAAAGGTTTGGCGTTTTACATTGACTTTAATTTTGTATCAGTGTTTCTTTTATTTTATTTGTAGTATTCAGCACTTTTTTTTATCTTAAGATTAAGGAGAGTACTTTGTACTGTTTACTTCTTGGTTAGATGTTACATAAAGTACTTTCTCTTTTATAAGTTTCTGCCGGCCATTATTCACGGCCTTCAACTTTATTATTTTGATTCTAATAATGATATGGTGTTAAAATCCTGTTCGATAATTTACGTGTTTTATTAAAACCAACTTTTTTAATACTCAGTTTTATTTCAAAAGAAACAACTTTTTTTGTGTAGTTTAAAAATTCAATGAGTTAGATTTCATAACCTTACTCCGGTACCTTCACTAGTTGTCTAATTGTTTTCTGGAGGCGTCAGTTTCCCACCAGCAGTGAGTCATTAATTTTACACTCGAAATGGATGTTGATATTGATAGTTCTATTCCGAAAATTGAAGAAAATGAAAATGCTGACAAACATCCCAAGGATCATTTGCTCGGCATTTTGGATCAAGTTGAAGCTCACGTTGAAAGATTACGAAAAGATACATTACTCTTGGAAGAGAAGAAAGACTCTTTATTCACAACATTAGACGCGATCAGGAATTCCGAACTTTTGTCGGGATTATTAGAGACTGATCGGGATGATATACAAAGGTACATAGACAGGGTAACTATGCGCTGTATGACTATTGAAATACTAGTTAGAACAAATAGAGATCAAGCCCAAGAAGAGTCTCTCTTTCAGGTAAATCGACTCATTGACCAACTTGTAGTGTCTTTTAAACAGGATCCTTCTTCAACAAGGGTTAGATGTCAGGCTTATCTTGCTGCTTGTTCACCTCATCCCGAAGTACCTACAGATAAAGCTTTTGAAATTGCTTTATTAGGTTGTGCTTTGGATGATCAGAAGAAGATCAAGAAAAGGTTACATGGTTTATTAAATTATCTCGAACAGGATGGTAAAATCGTTCCACTATCAGATTAAAAGTGATTTATAGACCCTTAATTTGTTGTGTACAGTTTCATTATTAACACATCATCTAGTGCTGCAGCAGTGTTAGGAGCGGACAATTACATTACATTCCACTATATTACATGTTAACTTGTTATGTTGGAGAACCTGTTGCCGAGGCTGTGTTCAAAGTTAAAGCTACTCAATGTTTCAATTGTCATTATTTGTTACTCTTTCGTTTAAAATGACTTGAACAATATTGCAGGTGCTTATCTTTGTTTGATACAACAGGTATTATTTAAAAATGTATTGTACCTTTTAGTTTCTTAAAAGTTTTACTATATTAACAATCACATTGCTTGTCAATTTAATCTATCTAATGTTCATTTTATTTAAAGCTCAATATTTTTAAATTTCTCTAAATTGAATAAAAGAATCATTTTGAAGCATTTTGTGATTTGTTTTGTTTCCTTTTTTTACCATAAATTAAATATAAATGTTTATGGTGTTGTCAATGTATTTTTATTGCTGATATAAGCCTTTGAAATTAAACAGAAATTGGGTAATTTTTTTCTAACTTCTAATTAATAAGCAATACCCATTGGGTGGAATGGATAATGAAGATTGCCTTGAAGCACGTATTAGTCATACTTTCTTCATTTCTCTAGTGATCCACAAATAGTGTAACACTTCTTACATATATATTATATAAACATTTTGTTAACGGTATAAAACAATGTTTTAAAGTACCAATTCACCAATGTCACTTCAATATAACATCTAGCTCAAAATCACATTGATTTCACTCTAGATGGAATTATAAAAGTTACCGAGAGTGTACAAAAGTTGACTGATGAGTCTTAGGCAAAGCCCCAACCTCTACTGAAAAGGACTCATTGGATGTTTATTTATCTCTTTTGAGGGAGTGGAAGTCAAAAGCTGTGATGAAACCAGAACAAATATAATTTTAATAACCACTTAATGATTTTAATAATCCAAATGGATTATTATTAATAATTATTACACTGATAAGTAAATTTGTATCTATTAACTTGGTTTTCAGTACTAGACACCCGGCAATCATTTACTGAATGATTGATGTAATTTTATTCTTGCTACTTACGAGTTAGAATGACATTTGAAGAGTTTCATCCTTGAATTACTTCTTATGTTATTCTTCAACATTATTACATTTTATTTGTACATTAATTAATTTATAATTAGGTAATTTATTTTCATTACCTCCAATTTCAGTTGAATGAATATTCATTCACGACCTTAATAATTCTTTAATATCAGTACTACAACATAGTACCTGAAGTAATGAATTACGATATAGGAATGTCAAACTGATAACCAACAGGCTCCATGTGACCCCTGAAATAAACATTTTTTAGTCTATGACGCTCTGAAATAAAATAAAAACAGGATATGTTACGAAGAGAAAATCACTAAATAAAGATTGTGGCATTACTATATATACAATCACAATATCCTATTCTTATTCCCCGAGAATGCTCATCTGAACTTTATCAGTTTGATTAAATGTGCCTTCTTTATTCAAGTTAAGTAATTCCAGTTCATCAGAGACAGCAGCAAATAAATAAAGTACATGTGGTGCTATTAGCTGCCACAGTATGGTAATATTACACTGCCTCAAGTAAATTTAAACAACCTTAAAAGGATTAAAAGATTATATTCTGTCATCCATTTTCAGGTACAATCAGCATCATTCTTTTACTACTGCTGTGAAGGTACTAGTTCTACAGGTTGTACAAACACCTCTGATTATGTCTCAGTACAAAAAAATTATATTTATAATAATGAAGAGAAGGATGGTTGGGATGATCAGTCAGAAATAAAAAGGCAAAAATAAATAATATTTATTTTAACATTTGCCGGCGTTACCACCTGAAGTTCAGGGCTAAAAAAAGAACCAGATAACATAACATAAACATAAACAATGTGGGTAAAATGAAGTGAGTAGAATAATGACAATAATAAGAACTAAGAAATACATAATAATAACCGTTACAAAGTGTGGAATAATGAAATAAACATAATCAAAATAAGGTGACATAAGTACTAAATTGGTAATCTTAGAATAAAATATAAAGCAGAGAAAAGGAATATGAAGTTATATAAGAAATAAAAATAAATGGTAAAATTAAGATAATATAAATTCTTATATAACTTCATATTCTTTTTCTCTGCTTTACATTTTATTCTAAGATTACCAATTTAGTACTTATGTCACCTTATTATTGAAAAGGAGTTGATTGGGGGAGGAAGGGGAGGGGGGGTTACAGTCAAATAAATACTAAATTATACAAATTTAGTGTTTCAACTGCCTGCCGCAGTGCTACATCCTACGCCCTTTTTTTTTTTTTGTTCCTCCCCTTCCTCGCCGTTAAGGCCATGCAGGGTTTTCCCGGGCCAGTGGTGTGGGCGGAGATTTAAAAGACGCCTTGGCACCGAGACGCGAACTCGTGACTATTTTTATAACATTTGTCATATATCAGGTTGCCGGGCAACGGTGGTGCTGTGCACAACGCATTCGGCCACCCGCCCACAACACACATCCTATACCCTGATGAAGACCTGCAAAATTGGGTCGAAATGCCAGCAAAAATTAAATAATAGTATTTGTATAATTTAATAGTTATTTTAACGCACCCCCCCCGATCAACTCCTTCTCATATTGTATCAACGGTCAACCATCTCTACATCATTATTTTGATTATGTTTACTTCATTATTCCACACTTTGTAACGGTTATTATTATTTATTTCTCAGGTCTTGTTATTGTCATTATTCTACCCACTTCATTTTACTTTAATATTTTTTATCTACATTGTTGATGTTTCTCATACCTTGTTGTCTGGTTTTTTTCTTAGCCCTGAACTTCAGGTTGAAATGTCGGCAAATGTTAAAATAAACATTATTATTTATTTTTGCTTTTTTATTTCTGACTGGTCACACCAATCATCATTCTCTTCATTATTCAACACAGTCAACCATCAATCCATAATATATTAAATAAATTTACCAAATCTCTTAATGACTTTTGAAATTTCCTGGTATTATGTTCTGTTTTAGATCCATTGGGTGAAAGATGAGCATTAAGGTGGACTATTTACATGCCACTGAAAATGTTTAGGTTTATATTGTAAGAGAACCAATGAGGAACTTGGTAAACATTTCACTTGGTTGTTGGGTTTAACACATGACGGTAGATTACTGCTTATTTTAAGAAGGAGCTGTTCCTACACATCCACAAATAGAATAGAATCTTCTAAGTGTTAAATGACTAGTTCGTTTCATCTACGATTTTATGCTCTTTGTAATTTAATTACAACAGTTTCTATAAACTTTTATCTTTTTTTTTTTATTTACTATTATATATCACTAAAATATTACATTTTAATAGTGAACCTCTTGGCAAAAATTAATACCATATTTGAATTAAGAGCCTCAAATTCGTATTGAATAATCTCCAAATACCTCAGCCCCTAAACCACTGTTGACCTTATTATGGGTGGTCATCCATTATATATGCTTATGTATATTCAATTTTTTTTTCCCTTTGTTATTGAAATTTTTTATTATTTTAACTAATACTGATGAATTTATTTTATTATGTATTCTTATCATTGACTTTTGAGTGATATGTTTGGTAAATACAAAATATTTAAATTTCAAAGAAAAATTATGCTTAAAAATGTCTCATAACAAATAGTTATTAATGTATTGATCATCATAAACTATAGAATTTGCTATAAATGATTATGACGATCAACTATAAAATAACAAATATTCATGTATAATAATTAATAAACCATACTACTTACTGTTGACATTTTTTCAAATGCAAAAGAACTTTGTTAAACACTTTGTAATTCTTTTCTGATTTGTTAGCCAGGAAAAACAATATGTGATCTATATTTTATGATTATTCCTAACTCAGATCTCATGGGAACTGCTGATCCTTTAAAAAGGTAACGAGGGGGATTACGGTGAGTGGGAGTGTAGATCCATTGGTTAAACTGTTATCTTGATTAAATGGATCCTATGACCAACAGCCTTTATTGCCATGCAAATATAATTATTACTTTTTGTAAGTTGTACAATATGAATTCCCTGTATACTTAATTTATTGATGTTCTTAAAAATAAGTTACTATGTTCTGAAAACCTCTCATTCATTATAGATCTAATGAATGAGCAAACAATTTTTTTTCTAGAAAAACTTATACTGAAAATCTTATAATTTATAATTAATTGGCTAGTTTTAATCTATATTTAAAAGTATTTATGTTTGATAATTATTATAAGGTTGATAATTAGCTGATCTCTATGTCTAGTAAAAATACATAAATGTTAATAAAAATGCTAAACAGTTAATATTAAATAAATAATATTTAATGTTAGATTCTGGATGAAATTGATAATGAGTACATTATAATAATTTCTGATGAACTAAAAGGGTATATAACATATAAATACTGTAACTTTTGCAAAACAAAAGCCATGATAGCTTGTGCATGTTCCTCAAATTAAAGAATTTATTTTGAATCCTGAGCTGTAATTCAGCACTGATTTCCGATTAATGCTATTTTTTTCCTCACAATCATTGTTATTTGTTAATAAATCATACATTAAAATAATAATTTTAAAAAATGATCTCAACATACTGAATATCCCTTTATATTTTAGAAAGTAGATTAAATACAGTACAGATATGGTTGTCTGTATGAAGTTTTATTTATTAATATGTGACTTAACAATCACGTAATGAAATTAAATAGATCTTCACTTTAAAATTGCCAATTTATTTCAGCCTAATGAAATGAAAAACATTTTTGAAAGTAGCAGAAATGAGATCTAATATAATTTTATATTTATTATTTAACGTTTTGTGTATTTATCATCAGCATCATGAAAACTTGCTGACTATTAAAGTTTAATGCATCAAAATATTCATTAATGCAACAAGTATGGAGGGGGAAAGAATAAAATATGTAGAAGTATAATCTGGAAGAAGACAAATAGTAATATAGTATAATAAAAATAGTTCATGATGACATTGAAAACGTGATTAAAAAGGAGTGATTTGAATGAGGAAGCTGTTGATGAAATGAAGTATGGTGGGTGTGATTCAGTACCAGAGGGAGACTGTCCATTTAAGAAGGACTTGTGAGACACAGCAGTTCGGTGGAGAGGAGGGTAGAAGTCAGAAGAATGGGATTTAAATTGCACATTCTGTGAGATGAGGAAAAGTTGCTGAGTTCTGATTAGGGGATACAAGAAGGATGCGGATACTGACACCTTTAGGAAGGGTAAAGCCACCTTAACTCATCATAAAGTTACATGTGTATCCCTGGCGTATATGAAAACAAATATAATTCTGTCGTTTCAGTGCCGGCCTTAGGATGGGAAAACT